TTCTGTGGGATTAAATTGTATGGACATATATGCCAAAAGCAACATCTGGACAAAGCAACCTTTTAATGGCCGGGTCCCGCCCCGTCGCTCACTCCCACCTTTCTGGATTTTTTAGTATGCTGTGCAGTAGAATTACCAACAAATAATCACACCAAGTTTCAAAACTCAGATTCACTCGTTTGCCTAATTTGAGGTGCCTGCATTGTTGTGACAATGGAGAGAGGAATTGAGTGAGAGATATTAGAAGAGGATGAAACAAGAAGAACGTGGATTAGGGATTGAGAAAGAAGTAGGTTTAAGGATGATTAGTTAATAAGGAGAAGTCGATAATGGGAAGGTGAGAAGGATGTAAGCAGATGTGTGGAGTGAACGGGGTGAAGCTAGAAGGATAATCTGAAGGAAACTAAAGTATAGAGGCAATGTATGAGAACGGTGGAAGATTCTTAAGAAGATTTTTAATAATGACTGTTCTTGTGATTAATGAAGATCATTTGTAAGTAGCAGAGAAAGTGAATACAATGATGTGATATTATACTTTACTACGTTGATTTTTTTCGGACGGGGTCATCAATTTTCTACTGTGACGCTACCTATTGACTTCTAAAATACTGCATATATTCATTTATCAAATCAACACATGACCTGAACGTCTTTAACTCACGTTCATGTGGCCCGGGACCAGAAGATCTTAGAAATATAGTTTGTAAATAGTAGGTAGGAAGGTGTAACAAAGTGAAACTGCGAGGCAAAGTGGAATTTGTATTTAAAACCCACAGGATTGGAGTTCAGTTCCAGAAAAAAATATTTTGTCGAGATGTGCATCGGCACTACTGTGCGAACGCGCCAAGCGGCTAGCATATCAGAAGAACGAAATATTTGTTTTTCTGATTTTCCTCTGTGTCTTACAAAAATGTAAGTAATATAGAACATTGTCTTTGGCATAACAATGCACAAGTACGAAAATATTTGTATTTATACCATAGTTTTATACGTTTATGATAACACACCCGTTATATTATTTCAGGGGCAGAATTTCTGATATTTTCTCCTGAAAAAAATATACCTGTACAAAAAACAGGACCAAATGCAAGTAAGTCTACTCGCAGAGCCGAAAAAACATCCATCATAACAACAGTATCTTGTTTGAGAGATTTTAAATATTCTGCTAAGGGACTCATTTCAAAAAACAAAACGGTAAAAAAAGCTTTGTACGTAGAGATACAATAAATCTTCATTACACTAGTACCGGCTTTTTTAAAATTTTGATTTACACTATTATGTGCATAATTTATTCTGATTTAGCATTAACTAAATAATTATAAATAAATTACCTCAATTTTATATACTTACGACAAAATTAAATCATTACACCATCTCTAATCATACCAAGATTTTTTGTTTTGTAAAAAAACTACTGAACTACTCTCAAGTTTACCTTTTTCATGTATAAGTCTCCCTATGCCATTATACTCGTGTGTACCTCGTTCAACGCGTATATCAATCAACGCATAAACACGTCCGCCCCTCTCATACATCTCTGATCTTTTGCAAAGCGCTGTGGGGAGACGCCTCTTCCACACGTCATGAGTGCATCCCATCCACCTCCACATTGCCTCATGTCCTTACAGCTGTACGGTCGGCTGCTGGGATGCAAGAGGCAAGATATCTTTTTATTGGAGGCAAGAAGTTTATTTATAGTCTCACTAACGACAATTGTTATTAGAGACTATTGAATTTTACACGTGGTTACAGTAGATATTTAAGTTCCAGTTATAACAATATTATATTTGCAATAATATTTATAGTATTGGCATTTAGGGTAAAAGCAATTTTTAGTGTGCAAGGCATAGGATAACAATACGTATGTGGGCCACAATGATGAAAATTTAAACAGTTACACTTATTACATAATAATCTTAGTCTTAAAACAGAAATTTTATTTTAGAGATGCACAAAGAAAAGCGTTAACTATTTCAGATTCTTTACAAAATTATGTGCGTTTCAACTGATATTCAGGGGATTCTAACATTTATTCTAATACTTCCTTCTGAGGAAACTTTATTTTGTGTAAAGTACTCTAATGTGGTCAATGGATGATTATATGTGTCATGTTAAGTAGAGTGGAGTTTTTACAATATTTGCAAATGAAGAGCTTTTGTTAAATATATCGCTCAATTTCAGTCGCCAGTTCTAATTCTAGAAATTATTACTTGTTCTTTTTTATTTATTTTAGCATTTGTATTTAATTTAAAGACATTTCTTATGTATTTCACTGGGTTTGTGCGTGAACCAATTATTGTTCCACCGTCTTTCATTAAGATCTCAATATGTCTCCAATATTTCCATTCAACAATATGGTAGCACAGTGTGGTTAGAGAAGTTTAAAGTTCTTTGAACTATTTAATTGCAAGAAAATACAGAAGTGAATTAAAACAATGGCAGTATTTTCTTATTTAAGACGTATTTATTAAGTAAAATTAGTCATCGTTCCTCAAAAGAAACATTTTATTTCATCTTCGAATCAATTCAATACATATTACACAATTTCACTGTAGCGTAGCAACTGTTGTTCTCGTTTCCTCCGACTTCTATTATCCGTTGTACAAAAAAAATTATTAACTATTTATTAACTCAAATAAGTACTAATTATTTTGTTTTCCGTCGAGGCCGCTGAAGATGTGGCTGTCCGAAGGGAAGCGGCCGACGGCTGCGGGCGGGACCGCTCGGTGTTCTGCGGCCCAAATCGGGTGTTGCGTGGAGGCCGGCGCGCGCGACCGCGAAGATTTCGCCGCAAGCATACACACGAACCTGTCTGTTTACGCGCACTGGTACTGTGTGCAAATGATATGTAGTTATTTCTGGCTAGGACAGAGGTTAAGAGGCTGAGGATTGCTTTACAATGGATGTTCTAGTCGCTGTGCGAAGATGTGGGATAGACAAAACGTTGACACACTTTTCACGAAGTTGTTCACTTGATTTCAAAACACTTGCTATAAAGTATTGTGTGCTTGGAATTATTTTAAGTTTGAACTCTTTTGCAATGGGTATGGGAACAAAACTATAGGAAGAAACCAGTAAAAAATAAATAAGAGAACAAATAGGTGTATTTCCGTTGATAGTATTTTTACTCTTGAGACTACAGTTGTTGGGTACCGGACAAATATAGAAATTACGGAATGCAGGTAGGAGTAGACAAAGTATACAGGACCATATGAATATGTACTAGTTTAATACAATAAAAACGTTTTACATATTAAATAACGCTTGCATATTGTGTAAGTATTTTGATATATTTAATGAAAGAAAAATCAGGAATTTTAATCTAAGTGCTCCTACATACTCCTACATGTTTTTAAAATGATTTGCTGCATTCTGGAAACCGACCTGAAATCCTGAAACAATGAGTAGAGGAGGAATGCCTGGAGAACATAGGTGGGCAGGAAGTAGCGGAAAGAGTCGGAATAGAAGGTCAATTAAAAAAAATAACACCAAGAAGAAAAGAGAGATTCTGAATGCTCCATCATGACCTGAGTGCAGAAAAGTTTCAAACTGAGATGGTGTTTGGAGAACTTTCACATTTTTATTTCAAATGAGATTACTTCTAGAACAGTAAACAAGGTTGAAAAAATGTATTTCATGGGATAAAATATTGTATTTATCAAACTGGAATACTTTGAAATACAACTGTGAGTGTATGAAGCTTTTGTTCCACTATGGTTCCACTAAGATTTTTAATTAGATTTCCTTGTCCCGTTTTGTTTTAGACAGTCTAATATCATATACTTGAAAACTAAAGGTTAATAAAAAGTCATATTTTAGATTTGGAAATTTTTTGAAACGTGTTTTTAAAACTTTCTGAATCATTAATATATTTGAGATACAGTAATTATTCAGAAAGTTTTAATAATAGTAATCTTTCAGAAATCTATCAGACATTTTTCTTTCACATTTTAATAAATTTCCAAATCTAAAATACGGCTTTTTATTAACCCCTTTGGTTTTAGAGTATGATATTAGGCTGTCTAAAATAAAACTTGACAAAGAAATCTTATTAAGCTTTTAGTAATAAAATTATTTTACTTAAACTTTTCAGAATTTGTTATTTTTGGTGTTAACATCAAAATTTACAAATTGAAATTTGAAATAGTGTAACTTGTAGAACTACTATTTTATAATAATTTTAGTGCCTCAATACATGTTTGGTGACAATTTATCTTTGTAGAAATTAATTCTTCAAATACATTATAAGTACTGTACTTGCTTGTACTTGTATGTTCGTAGTGCGAGCAACCAACGTCGATTCTTATTTATTGTTTTATCTACATGTACGTAATGCTTTCAATCTATTTATACATGTCTATCTGTTCAGGTAACATGTAGCCTGCCCGAATGACACAATTAGTTCACAACAGCAACAGAAAAATATGAAATAATCACATTATATGAATTATGGGGTTAATGGAATCTAGTAGCTTTTTAGCTAAAACAATCGTTGACAAGCAGCGGGAATGCCGGTTATTACTTCTTCTACGTTTCTACGTTAGAAATAAAGCTTTTTGTTTTACAATGAAACTTTTTTCATTATATTTCCAAAAACATTCATTTGTCTTGATATTAGGTATATACTACTGAATGATGAAGCCAGAAATAATAATTTATGGCCCCACTCTAAACGGTGACTGAAATTGATCAACAATAGGACATCCCCTATTCTCCACAATCTGACGCCGCCAAGACGTCCCCTTGGTCCTCGTGACGCATTCCAGGAAGGGACCGACTCCCAGTGGTGCCTGGTGCTTGAGGGAGGGGGTTGAGGACGGAGGGTCGCGCGGATAGCGTGACGGACGCCGTCTTCGCCGCTTCGTCCTCTGATCCCCCTCCCTGCCCCCTGCAGCCTTCTGCGCGTCGCTGCAGCGCCGTTAATTGCCGCGTGCGCCTTTGAAGCCGTCTGCGGACACCGCATGAATAAGCGAACGCGACCGCGCCCGAGGTCGCTCGTCTTTTTTTTTTCTTCCTCTCTCCGATCGCGACTTCGTTCGTCCTGCATTACTTATGGGGAGTTCTAAAGAGTACAGAAGAAGTGCGGGTTTTTTATTTATGAATATCTGCGTACGAATTTATGCTGTGTGATCAATGTGACTACTAATATATTCACGTTTTCTTGAAAGAACGAATGAATAAGCGGCGTTTCTTTGTTTGAGACATGCCTTCTTTTCGCCTTTGTCTTTTCGAAGGACAGTAATTATTTGTGAGGTGCATAGGTTAAATGTAGAAAATGCGTAAATTGATGAAGCTGCTTCTTTTTTAACTATGTTTTCTTTCTCTTCAACGGTCAGATTATTCGTTGACACCATTTAGCACTGTGAAAAATGTGTAGGAAATTCGCAGAATCTGAAAGAAAAAAGAAAAAAATATGAAAGGAATTTCAACCTAAGTACTTGTTTTAAACAATCATTTAGACAATTCACAGCGTCCACATAGACAAGGTTCATTTTCCGGTATTTTCTTTGAAGGAGTCTGTTCTCAATATTTGCAAGCGTACATTGTCACATGCTGCTGACGAGGAATTTATATTATGTTTACGTTAAAAAAAGTTGATGTTCACATGATATGTGTAAGTTTTAATCTTCATAATTTTACTAATTGATGTTTACTTTAGATAATCACAAATGGTTAAAATTCATTAATTCTAACTTTGAAATTTCAGCCAATGATATATTCAGGCAATCATATACGAGGATGCAATTTTCACTATGCACTGAAAATATTTTTTTAGATTTTTTACGAGAGTCGAAAGAACGTAACTCGTAATGTAGGCAGTTTTGGAAAAAGAAATCAACCGTCATAGAAGTTTTATATTTTTAGATATCATTTACATTAGAAAAAATGACACTCAATGCATATTAGAATAAATAATTAAACAATTACTTTTACGATACTACTTCTTTATTTCCTGATTTGTTAAACCAGAAGGAAAAATTATTAAAAGCGATTACATTGGCAATAGAACCCCAATTTTGTTCTTGTCAAGGGGAGACACGCCAGGTGGGAAGAAAAAGAGTAAGTAAGTTAGTCAGTATTGATTACCAGTGATTCTACAATGTCATTAGTCCCTCAGGTGTTGTTGTATATTCTGAGAGGTTAATACTCAAGGTGCTGCGTACAGGAAAACATCTCTAATGCGTTAGTTTGAATATTACAGTAGTCTTATATATTCAACTGGTAGTCTTATAATCTTATGGTGGTCTTACACAGGTCTTATGTAAGACTACCATGAGATTCAAACTAACGGATTAGAAATGTTTTACTGTATTATACCCCTTGATAACAACAATGGATTCAAGAGTTTCAAAGATGTTGATTCTCCCGCACTGGAACACGAGATCCGGCGCTGAGCAACATGTCAGCTTGCGGGTTATTTCCCCTCCAAATATTTTCCTCAACGAGGCACTCTCAAAGAAGTGTGGAGTTCCAAGCTCAAATTGGCCTCCGATTTTTATGTAGTGTAGTGTATGTAAATGAGAATACGCTAAGGAACTGGAGGGGACATGGATAAGGAAGGCAAGATTGCGCGCTGTCCGTAACCCGATAGATACGGTTCTGCTCCGGCATTTGCCTGGTACTGCCCAGAGCAACCATGAAAGTAAATCGATCAGAGTAGCCGGCCGCTAGAATTATCCTCTACATCATGATAGAATTCGAAGCAGCTATGTAGCTAGTGCCAAAAATCCACCAGCGTCGGGATTTCAACCCTTGAACACCCCGGTCAACGGTTACCCAGTGACAAGCTATCGCAACCCGGGAAGGCAAAGCTGTGAAGAACGCTCACCCCGGCCAGCGACTCGAGGGAGAGGTCGGCGAACTTTCCGTAGGTGAGCACGCAGGGCCTGCGGCTGCGCACCATGACGAGGGTGACGCTGCGGCGGTAGCTGAGCGAGCTGTGGAACCACTCGCTGCAGTAGGCGGAGTAGCCCACGCCCTGGCTCTGCAACACGCGGCCCCGCCCCGCGCCTTTAGGGGCCGCTCGCTGGCGCACGACGGTCACCGCCGACCCGCCGACCACCAGCTCAGGAGCGAATCGCCCGACTGCATCCCGCGATCAGTTTTCCCTTACCCCCGCTTCCCTGCTAATCCTCTTCCTCTTTTCGTTACGTGAGAAGGCATAGCCCTGCTGCATTCTGCGGCTCCTTTATCCTCATGCCCCGCTTCCCAGCTAATCCTCTTTCGCTTTTCGTTATCTGATGAGGCACAGCCCGACTGCATCTCGTAATCAGTTTTCCATCACCCCCGCTTCCCAGCTTATTCCCTTTCTGATTTCGTTACTCGAGAAGTCATGCCCCCAATGCGTTCCGTTTCGTTCATCCGGTGTTTCGGAAGGAGTATTATTTTTAGACGTTCTTGCACCAGTCCAGAGCCAGGAAGGAGTATTATTTTTAGACAAATAGACGTTCTTGCACCAGTCCACAGCCGACCTGGGACACGGGGAAACATGGAAGAAACTTCGGAATTGTGTTCCGAGTTGCATCAGCGGTGTAAGAAAATGCTAGTGATACGAGATTTCAAGTTTTGTTTCCACAAACTTTTAAGTGTGGTTTTCAACGTTGGTGGCAGTGCTCTAAAAGGACGTGAAAATGTTTTTTGAAAACAGAAGTGCATCTATTATAATCGATCGATATAAATGTAAGCAAGCTACTGTAAACGTAGATATCAATCCTTATGCTGAGGAGGAAAACTGTTCGGGGTGCAGTCAGGCTAGCACTTTTTGGGGAGGTATGTACACGGCTTAGGAAAAGTTGACCGCGGGATACTGTCAGTGCACTGTCGCGGCGTAGGACTCAGTACGTAGGGTAAAGCAGTGCCCGTATTGACAATCGTGGTCAATTAAAATGCAAAAATTGAAAAATATGAATAAAATGCTTTCAACATGCAGTACGTTGCATTTATCTCATAGTGGTTTGGTTTAGAAAGAAGATAAGTTATATCTTTCTCTCATTTTATTTTTAAAGAGAAATCTGAAAAAAATCTTATTAACATTGAAATTGCAATAATGTAAACTTAATATTTGAACCGATACTCTTTTAAAAGTATTAGATCTCAAAGACAAGAGGTAGAATACCAACTGTCCATTACTCAGTTGTGTCTTGATCACTTCCAAAAGTTTTTAAAAAGTAAGGTTGCCATTAACATTATTAATTTTAAGCTGGCTTCTTCTGAACTGCTACATAATTTTTAGTCGTTTCTGTGCCTTCAGAATCTGATCCAGCAAAATATGTGACTTACCTCCTCAATTAGAGCATTTGCAAAATAAGAGAACATAGAAAGTTCATAAAGAGCAGCTATTAGTGTGTACGCCATTCCAAAACTTTTCGCTGCCCCATTACTGTCCTGAAATAAACAAACCAATAGAAATGTTTCATAAAGTGTATAGGTAATGCTCTTAGTTTTTATTGTTATATTTTTATTATTGCTTAAAATGCTTTAAAATTACAGTGTATTACTATTCCTAGTTGTAATATGTAAAATTTAGTGTTCTGCCACCAGGTTCTATACCTACTTGCAGAAATAATAAACTATTTTATCTATCTATCTATCTATCTCTATGGTATTCTGTCGTGCATATATTTGTATAGCATGAACACACAAAGAAATTGCAAAAATAATATTTTTAAAGATATTTACACGTAATTGCTCAAAATATGCCTCCCATTTAAGTATTTCTTAAATAAATTGTTTTGAATTCATTTTCTATTGTTGTTTTCTAACAAACTGTACGGCAATTCGTTTTTTTAAACAACGAATTGCAAATTATAGGTTGAACAAGCTGAATGATGTTTTATGTTAATGACGAGTAAATGAAGGCCGGAGCCTCACCATCAACATCGATTCGCGTACCAAAGCGCCAACTGCGCCTTAATAATGCTAGTTTACCTTCAACGCCATTTCATTCGGGGGTTCGTTGTTGCTTCAGCCGTGTTCTTGCAGAAGCGAGTCGACTTCTTCACGTGGAGTACGACAAAGGATAATATTGCTTCAAGATTTAGATTTTATTACCTTAGACAGCTTTTATTGTAATAAAAGGTGAAAAATACGTTTTGAAAACACTCATCATGTTCATATTACACATAAATTTTTATTTCTTCACATCACGATTTTTTTACTGTTTGGTTATCTTCAAGCGCAATTCATGGACTAGGTAGTGTTGTCCGTGTAAATATTTTCCAATAGAATAATCTAATATAAGTATGTTGAGTGTTTCGAAAGTGTATTATTCATATTTTATTACAATACAAACTGTCAAAAATAACGGGACCTACAAAATATTGAAAGAAGAACTTATGAAGGATAATGTGTGTTTTGAAATGAAATACAGGATAAGGGCCCTGTTTAGGATTGGCGGAATACTCCATAGCTATGCGTTTCGTGTATCCTTTCCAAATTCAGGTGAGCACAGCTGATGATACATCGAAAGTGTCAATTCAGTTGTTTGAGTCAGTCAAACAGTTCCTAGTGTGCCCGCAAGATGATCCAAAAATATTCTGAGAGGAAATAATAACATTGACCGATTCACTGCACTACATTACAAAATTAGGAATATATTATGTTATTAAAATAAAATGATAGATTTGGACTTTGTTTTCAGATTCGTTCGTGACATTGAAAAACATTGACAAACATGGTGTTTTGAACCAGTTTTTCTGCACTACAGTAATATTGTGTACATCCGCTTTCAAATTACAATGGTATTTTTCATATTAACAAAACAATAATCTCCCTGCGTGTTATCCTTGGTTAACATTCCAAA